GAAGAAAAGGTTAGAGAAAATTTTCAAAAGGAATAAAAAATACTCAGCAGGAACCAGAAGGGGAAGAATGCCACTATATTGTTTGCTAGTCATCATAATCAGAGAGCAGATCCGGAGAAATGTGAATTCGATGTATGTACTTGGTTTACAGAGTGGGCTCACGAAGAATGCACAAAAGATATTAGCTACGTTTGCAACAATTGCGACTCTGAATACTCTGATTATTGTTAAGCTGAATGTTTTATTTAAGTTTGTTCTGAATGTTTATTTGATTTATTCAGAATATTAATTTCATTATTAATGATTATTTGATTTAGGAAATGTCTTTCATTTAGTTTATTTTTAAAATTTATTTGTTTTCAGAAATGTTTTGATAAGTTTATTCTGAAATTATTATCTTTCTTTGTAATTCCTTCAAATGTTTATTACTCGGCAAAGGCTAATGCATATTTCAGAAGTATTGAAATCTTGAGGCTGATTAGTGTTGTCATGTGATGCCATAATTATTCGTATAATTAGTATCAATGACAAAACAAACATGTTTCATTAGTATTTATTTTATTATTGATGTGAAACATCTATAGTCGCACGTAAAACCGATTGCTGGCTTGGCGAGAGGTCACCAGTCATGGGAAGCTGAGACGTTGAATTATGATTGCGATATCGAATGGTTTTTGTTTTTTGGATGATTCAATGGAATATTATGCGGAAGATTAAGCTGTCATTATGCTCCGTGCTCGAATACAGAAGCCGGTCATATTGACTCGTTGAATGTAATTTAGTTTACGTGAAAGGGAATAAAAGGTGTTATTCAAAGTGCGACCAATGTTTGTTTCTATCATCAGAAGTGTAATTGTGCCTAACGCGCATAATGAACTCGCGAATTCGATGATTTTCGCAAACAAAAAATACTTTACTAAGATTGTTCTTTTTGTTTTGCTGTTTGTCTATAATTGTGGAAATGACTTCACAGGAGGGAGATTCAATTCGAATACTTTTAGCTGAACTGGCTAGAGCTTTGACGACACAGCGATCTGGTAAACAGGTAGATTTGGCCTATTTTAGACCTGGAAATAATTAATCCAGTAAATGGATGAGTCAAGTAGCAGCTAATAAAATAGGCTGGTTTGATTTTCAAACATTATCAAGAATTGCTTGATTCTTACTAAACGTGTTGGTTTGAACGTTTGAACCCTCATAACAGACACTGGGTAACTTTTTGTATTGGTTTTATCGGAGCTTTTCCACCGAGAAGAAATCTTGATCATATGATAGAAGATGCAGTTAAATTCTCAAATACTTTCGCAAACATCTATGAATCGTATGTACATTGAAAATCAGCAATGTTGAAGAGTGTACGCGTAAAATGGTGTGAGATTGACTCAATATAATTAATTGTTGATGGAATCTCTGAACCTGAAACACGCAAGACTGCTATGAATACTAACTGTCATTATCATTAAGACACGCCCGAGGAAGCCATTGTATGGCGAAACACGTGTTGCGTTTTTGTAAAACTATCTAGTGAAAATCACACAATGAAGTGTTTTTAGAATACGTTAACTGCCATACTATTTCTGAGTTATTGGTGTTTTTGTCTTTCTTTGTGAAACCTCCTCGTATTAACGAGGGACAAAAAAAAGCTGGACGCGACACTTTTTCACTTAAGAGGAAATCTCCTTCTTCTGACAGACAAACAAGTGGATTTGCTAAAGAGCCTATAAAATGTTACCAGTGTGACAAGATGGGACATGTGAAGGCAAATTGTCGTGCCAAAAATCCATAACCACCGAAGTTTCTCTAGCAATCAACATGAAGTGCCGAGTTCATCACAAAGTTCCGAAACTTGTAGTTTTTGCGTCAAGACGGGTCACAATGTTTCAATTGTTTCACCAAAGCTGCAATTGAAAAACCGCACAATATTAATCTCTGAACAGCTTTCTAAGAGCCTGTAGGCTTCAGATCATTCAGTATATGAAATTTCATCTTATAATTAGTAGTTAATGGTGCTAATTCAATAACATAACAATAACGAAAACATTGGAGAGGGAGACAAATACAGCGACCTAGAAAACCTGGGAAAGTCAGGAAAAACAGGAATTAATATCACTGTTCTTAAATTGTTGTGATATGAACAATCTGATTGTAAACTTGACCAAAATAAAATATATTTTAATTTAAAAAACGATCTAAAAAAGCAATCCTTGCCTTACTAATCAATGGAATGGCACTGGCATGCACAAGCTGTACAAAATTCCTTTCCAAAATTCCTATAGACAACTGTTTGAAGTGGTCTGACCATATCACAGAAATATGTAAAAAAACCAATCAAGGGTATTATGCAATCTCACGAATTAAGAATTGTATGCCTTTACGCACCATTTTAGATGTATATTACAGTCTGGTCTATAGCCATCTAAGTTATAATGTGATCCTATGGGGAAACAGTGTTGACAAAGATAGGGTTTTCATTGCTCAATAAAAAGTTATTAGAAAAATACTAGGCATCCCTTGGAGGAAATTATGCAAGACATTTTTCATTAGTCATCAAATTTTAACCTTTCCCTGCATCTATATCTTTAAAATACTTTTATATGTTCGCGAATGTATAACAGACTGTACTAAGAACTCATTCTATCATAGCTACCCAACTCGATATGCAGAGGAGTTGAGCATTCCTAAACATAAAACTATAAAATTCGAACATTCTCCCAAATATATGGGAATAAAATTATTCAATCGGTTACCAGACCATTTCAAACAGATGAACACTGTAGCATTTAAAAAAGCAGTTAAAACATTGCTTCTTTCTAAGGCCTACTATAGTATTGGCGAATTTCTCTCGGACCATCTCGACTGAATGGGTTCATGCGGCTTTGGCATGACATATTCAATTTTTATAACTACAATTGTTTTAATTTTTGTAATTCTGACTTATTTGTNCGGCATTGTCAAGTTATTCTAGAAAAACCTATTTTGTAGACAATAATTTTTTAATTCACCTCCCGCATGTCTATAGCAATTAAGTGAACATTTTTTAGGAATAGTTAGTCAACATCATTATGATAATTTCAGGAATCTCAACTTTTGGAAACAATATATAAGATGCTCGGTAGAACCGGTCAAGTTTCATTCATTTTCAAACAGACATAATTCAACTTTTTCAAATGGAAAACCTTGTATTTTTCCATTTGTATGAAATGTTTCAACATTTCACTACATTTTTAATCATAGGTATAATATACAAAGAACAGATATTTTACAAATTATAACCAGTTTTATTAATTGTTGTAATAACAAGAAATTAATTTATTTACTTACTCAAAAATTTTTCAACATAAACAAAAACGCCTAAATTTTTTATTGAACAGAGGATTTCAAAAGATGTTCAAAATGGTGGTGACTATTTTCTGCAAAACATAATGTCAGTCTTTTTTTAAACGAATTCTCTACACGTTCCAGCATATCCCCTGGGATTTCCCTGAAATCTATTGTGATCCTTCGTTTCATGTCTTCTATAGTCGTTGGAGGAGTTTGGTAGATAATCCATTTGATATACCCCCATAAAAGAAATCCATTTTGGTCAGGTCAGATGATCTGGGTGGCCACACCACAGGCCCAACCCTACCTATTATTGAAATGATCATTGAGATATTCCCGTACCTCAGTTTCAAAATGTGGTGGTGCACCGTCTTGTTGTAGCCACATTTTAATTCTTGTTCCATATGGAATCCCGTCCAATAAATATTCAAAAACTCATGCCGAAGAAATCTTACATATTTTCTTTCAGAAAATACGCACTGATAACTCTTTTTCCGAGAATTACACCCATTCAGTAACCAACGCTGTTGATGTTTCAGGCAACGAACGAAATGGGGGTTTTCCGTTGCATAAAAATGCATGTTATGCCAATTCACAGTTCCATTTCTATGAAAAGTCGCTTCATCAGAAAATAACACCAAATCGAAAAAAATATTTTCCTGATTGATCTTTTCTAAGCCCTATCGGCAAAATTGAACTCGTTTTTCAAAATCTCTTCCTCGTAACTCTTGCATCAATTGCATGTGGTAAGGATGAAATTTGCTTGCTCGTATCATTCGAGACACGCTGGTTTGAGAAAATCCTAATTCCCTGCTCACATACAAACATGGGGATTTTCAACAAGGTGAAATGTATTATCTTCATTTATTACAGGGCAAACACATTCGAACTTCTCTTGATTGACATTATCAGTTCTTTCAAATATTGTTCTTAAGAACCTGAAATGCCTTTCCATCTGGTTATCTTCTTTCGAGGAACTTTTTTTGTAATCCCTATATGCAAGGAGGCAGTTTCAGTCACTATCCCCCCCCCAAAGCATACACCATTTGCACCACATCTTCTAATATATAATTCAAAATGAAAAGGATTCAATCTACACACGAAAGAAACTTTAACACATGGCATTATTGACAAATTCCAAGATTCATTTTTTGATGACAGTTATGGATAACTGGGTTTTCAACGAAAAACGCAAGATAAGATGGTAGTAGTAGTATTTACTGGCTATACTATAACAATTTTCAATTGAAGGTGATTCATTAGCAACGTCGCACTAGAAGTGACCAACAGATAATCCTCTTACCAACTCTGCAGAGGCGTATGAAAATTATATTTCAATTTATTTAAACACATAGGTAATTACATAAAAATTGTTATAGTAGGTGGTGTTTTACCTGGTGTCAATGGTAAAACTGATTACATTTTCTTATTATGCCTAATACAGTACTTCAAAAAAACAGAATAAAGACTAGGGGCTTGTTTTTCTTGTATCAATTAACAATAATTCTACCAATTAACTACCCTTTTTATTCAACTTCATTGATTGCACAACAAATGCCGATCCATCATAGTAATTCCCAAAAACAAAACTGAATAATAAAATGATTACATTTCTTGAGCAAATGTCACTTCTTAAATAACAACAAACTATTAGCATCAATGAATTCTACTTACAAAATCTACTCCTATGGTACTGATATAACTCTCTGTATAAGTATCATCCTGGAAAAAAAGATAAAATTTTGTTAATTTCATAATAAATTGAAGCAATGTAGGTGAAAAAAAACAGTTTCTATGATGATTTTTAAACTTTAAAAAATAAAACTTTATCTCTGATCAAGATCTCTTTATCAAAAAAAGTATCAGTAAAACAATATCATATGTATCCAAAAACAGGAAAAGGTTCAATTTTTTACTTAGACTGCTAGAAATGTAGTCAAAACCAATTTAATTACATAATTTGAAGGTTACTTCAAATTAAATTTACTTACCGCAAATCGTAAGAGCAAACACGATTTACCTACACCAGAGTCGCCAATAAGGAGTAACTTGAATAGGTAATCACTGAAACAAAAAATGTATTAGTTGAATAAAATAATAGCAACTGATATTTTCATCAAAACTTCCAAACCGTTATTTTTAACACCTCAACATGTATTTCAATCACCAAGCGATCATCTAGTTTATTCTTCCTCTTGAAGATGACCACTTGGGGATCGAAACACTTGTCGAAGTGTTAAAATAACGGTTTGGTGTTGGGATAAAACTCCAATAATATTGATAAATTGTTTAAGGCTTTCGCGGCCGAGATTTTCAGTGTTACAATATTCATTTGGGTTTGAAAGCCGTTGTAGTTTGGAACTGCTTGATTAACGCCTGATTAACGTTTCGCCAGCACGAGTGGTTGGCTTCTTAAGAGGTTTATTCATCTTGATGATTCACCGATGACTGGTGATTTTGAGTTCGTAAGTTGTATTTATGTTGACTCAGGTAGTCCGCCTCTCTTGTTGATGCGTTGCTATTGGCTGAAGTGTCGGGCATACACTTTTTATGCTATCGGAGTTAATCAACTCGTGTTATGTTGGCAAAAGTACACTGATTCAAATGACGCTTAATTCAATTAAATTGAATAGCTTTCACTGAGGTATTTAAATTCAAATTTTTTATTTGGTTCATAACAAAGCTACAGCTTTAGAACATGTCACAAAATACCATCAAATTAACATATGCCAAAAGTAAAATATAAAATCTTCAGAAGATACAGTGCAATAAAAATAATAATACAGTACATACATACAATCGTGAAAGGCATCTTTGCTCTATGGTCCCGGGAGTGAATGGAAAAAGTCATTAATACCATATAGGGGATTTTCCGTAAGTAATGTCTTTAAATGTTTTTTAAATTTACTATAGTTCAGAGAACGTACTGTAAGAGGTAGGGCATTGTACATTTTAATATCAATAGTATCGTCCATTCTTTGTAACCGGGTTTGAGGTAAAATCAAATTATCTTTATTTCTAGTATTGTGACCGTGTATATCGGACACAACAGAGTAACTATTAATGTTTTGTTTGACATATAGTAACTTTACAAAAATTATCAGAGAGTAAAGTGTCATTATTCTCAACGTTTTAAAGATTGGTTTGCAGGAGTCTTCAAAATTAGCTCATATGATACATCTTAGAGCCCTCTTCTGAATGACAATTATAGCATTTAAATGAAACTGAGCTGTAGTAGACTCATAAAAACCACAAAGCTTTTGAAATAACCTAATATAGTTCTTCCAAGTCATAAATTGCATGCAATGATCAATAAGTCATATGCAGTTGGATCATTGATTCACAAAAATTTGAGATATGTGAAATTATATTTCTTCTGAATTTCTTTGTAACCTTTTGTTCATAAGAATCCAGAATTGTGTTTTTCCATCAGAAATTCCAATTGCACAATAAAAAATGTCTATTGTTTTTTTTTGTTTTAACAGTTCCACAATTTGCTTATACACCTAACACAATAAAGTTTAATCACTAGTTGGTAACTTTCACATACAGAAATAAAAAAGGACCTCTACTGATATTACTAATATTTATGCTTATATAACTATACTTATTAGTATTCACGCACGTTTCATAGTTCATATGGATTGCAGAAAAGAAACTTTTATCTACACAAAGGTAGGTATAATCAAACATATACCACCATTTTGGTGGATATTTCTTTAGCTTCCAAATGAAAATTATGCTGGATACTTTTATTCGAAAACAAATACGATTTGCACCTCTAAATCACTTCACTAGCGCTTTTCAGAGAATTATTGTACACAATGGATGGACAAATTTGGGACGTCTCCTCGATTCCAACAACTTTACTGATTGACGTATTGCCAAAGTGGCAGCGCAGTCGTTGAATGACGTGCAGCATTGCAAAATGTGGGAATTTTGAAAATTGTTCTAATTGATATCTGTTTTTCATCTCTATTTTTTGCTTCATTTCAGTTGAATTGCATACTAATTAACAGTTAGTGACTCAACATCAAAAATCAATCTTTTCGAATATAAAAATTGGTTTGATTGTTTTAGTTTTAGAATTGGTAGCTACAATTTGAATGTAGCTTTTCTTAAAGAAATATAATAAATTAAAACCAATCATTTTTATCCAGACAAATGGGTACATTCTTATTTTCACCAGGGGCCTAATTCTCGAGTCATGATAATATTTTTGAGTGGGATGTGTGACGTCGAAATGACATAATTTGACAGTCTTCAGCATATATCGATCATTGATAATAACAGATCGTTGAATATGACGTCAGTTTCTATGGAAAAAAATTTTCCCGTAGCCCCTGTGGCTTGATTCTTCAGTCACGAAAAACTTTTTTCCGTAGAATGTCACGTCGTCTTCAAAACTACTCACAATCTGTTTAAAATCTGCTTTTCCGTTAATCAGCTGTCGCCCCCATACGAACGACAACTCTCAGAAGTTGAGAAACTTGTGCGAGCTAAGGACTAACGAGGTCTTACCTTTTAACGTGTGATTCCTAACACGGTTGCAGAATCATTCCAGCTTCAACCAGATAAATTCTCCCGAGAAAAATATCTGGTCGAGGCGGGAATCAAATCCACGGTCTTCCGATCGTGAGTCGGGCGCACTACCACCACGGCCAATTCCACAAATGATCAACATATGTTACAGAATATCAAAATACGTCGTTATTCGGTTACTTTCTTTCAGAAAATGATTCCGATAACTCGAGAATTGGACCGAGGTTGGTCCAAGGTTGGCGACGGGCCCGTAGTTGGTCCACCAATTCGTTTTTATATTAGTGTTATTTCAGGTGAGCCAACCACATTCGTTTTTATATCTAACAACATAATCTGTATAAGTATATACCTATATACATATAAGTATTAAACTGTATAAGTATGTATATACATATGTATAAGTTTGAAAATGTCCTTATAGGACGAAACTGCAGTAACGTTAGTTACAAATAAAATTGGTAGAAAAGATAGAAAGTTTTCAATTCTCTTTTCTTCATTATGATTACCTATCACGTAGTAACGGCTACATCCATCAATTTATTAGGTTATGTTATATTTTTTATGTAACCAGAAAAATTACATCAAACCTTAATAAAAATGTTATTGACTACGGTGATGAAAACAAAGAACTACAGGTTAATTGTTTTAAAAGGTTCATTTGGACAATAATCGAAAAAGAAATGAAAACCTAATAAACCTAGCGGAAATCAAGTGAAAATTTATTTGTTCAATACATTAAATTGTTTCGTCATCTTCGGACGATGTTTCATTTGTCGTGGGTTCATGTGCCCAGGTCTTGAACACATTCAAAGAAGGTGCATATATCCTGAGAGAAAATAAAACCGTACTCTGTTCTTTATCTCAAAAAATGACCTGGGTCATAACAGGTTTGTTCTCTGGTTCTACAAAAAGTTGATATAGTGCGATCTGGTTTTCTGAGGATAGTTCGTATTGGTGAATACTCTGTTCTCGTTTCGACTGCGAAATGATCCTAAACTGTCTTGAACCGTCCTGAATCGTTCTTGCTCTCGAGGCTGAACTGTTGAGAACTGTTCCCGTTGCTAATGCGCATTCATGTGGAAATTAGTTTGGGCTACTTTCTAAGATGTTTTTTTTATTTATTTGATTCAACTAATTGATGATTGAGGTTAGATATCTAACCTGTTATATAACATTTGAACTGACTACAAAGATATGCTACATAACAAAATGGACATGATGAACAGTATTTTCTCGTCTTCATCTTTTTATATATACTATAAGTGGCACAGTGGTGGCAAGTGTCCGAGACCGAGACTATTTCGGACTGTTTGAGATTTTTTGTTTGTATGCAGTTTCCAAACAGTTTCGGATGTTAGAACCAGAATAAACCTAACAACTGCTTAATTCATATCATAGCCTGTGCATAATGTTAGCGCCATTTTGGAGGGTTTTTGAACCGTTTACTGCTAAAAGTTGGACTCTTTTTCAAGATTCCTCCCATATGAGACGCTTCTCTTTATCTCTACCCTCCATATATTTCTAGGATATCTTTATCGTTTATTTGATTTTGTTAGTTGGTGATTGAGGTTAGGTAATATTTGAACTAGATTTTCGACTACAAGGATACATTGTATACCATGACCATGACAAATCAACAGTATTTTATCGTCTTCATCTCGCCATCCTCATCTTGTGACCATGACGAAGCATTTCTTTAAATTCTAAGTGCTGCGGAACTTTTGGTTCCGCAATTATATAATTTTCATTTCCACTTGATATGGTTGAAAAAATGAAGAAAAATAAAAAAACGACACTGAAGTGTGGCATGTTTTTATTTAAATGTAAACACCCAAGAAACTTTTCAATGACAGCCAACTCAAACTATTAATATATTTCAAAGTTACCTGCCTGCTTGTCTAATTAAAACTTTTCATATACGATAAATAGCGCAGTCGCAGTGGTCTCGAAATACGTTCTGCGTTCTTAGAATGCGGCTTCAACTCGAAAAGGTACTGAATAAAACTTGAAGGACCAAAATGTTTAGGCAAACTTCTTATTTTCGGCAAAATAAGATTTTATTTTACTCTTTTGCTTTTTATTCAGAAACAAAACTGACAATAATTATGGTAACTATATAAAACAATCATTATGGTAGCTTTCTTTCACTGAAAGCTAACAATAACGCGCTATAGTGTGAAATTTAAAGTGAAAAATTAAAGTCAACTTTCGACTTTAAACTCGAAGTTACAAGATTAAAGTCGAAATATCGAGTTTAAAGTCGTAATTTCCGAGAAACGAATAATAAAAATATGTGGCTCTTCTGCACTTCCGTACCTTTGCTATTCTTATTATAATAATTATTATTAGTTCTTTCAGGAACTAATGAAATTCATGATGAAACATTGTCAATCACCTTCAAATTTTTCGAAAGTAAATATTTGAATTCAGTTTTGATGTGATCAATATTATTAGTTTGATCCAATGTTAACATTCTGAAATTGGTGAAGATTTCAAAATTTCGGAAAGTGGTTTTCGAAAAATGCTAATTACATTATCACTATAACCGCACCCATATCTCCAGTCACCTTCAGCAACTTCTACCCTTTATTATTTAAACTATCTCAAAAATGATTTTTATGCCACTAGGATAGACTGGGTACGGTTGAAACACAGGACGGTCGAAACAGTGCAAATATCTAGTAAACAGTTGAGTGGTGAGTGAGGGCTGCAAGGGTAAAACAAGCGGACGACATGTCCGAACTCGAATTCAGGGCCGCGCCGCATATCGCGCGTTTTCGTTGTGTGCAGGACGCCATATTGTTTTTTATTACCCAAAAGTAAGTATTTTTCTTCTGACATTAATGCTTATATTATCTGTTCTTTTTAAGTGAATATATTGAGTGTGTGCTTGTGATTATTGTGACGCTGGAAGAATAAGGAATTATGACTATTTCAAATGTATTTCATTAGTTCGAACTTCTATTGTCTAATATGATATAAATTGATTTGAAATACCTGACAGAATCTGTAAAAAATTAAAAAAGATTAGCTGAAAATAACAATTATATTAAGCAAAAAAACTGAAATTACAATGAAATGAAAATACAAGCAAAACAACCAAAAAATCGGTTTTAGCGGAAGCTAACCGTTTGACGGGAGTTGGTCATGTTCCGCTTGATTAGAGGTTTCTATATGATGCGTATATCTACGTTAGCTTGGCTAAATGCGTTGTTGGACAACATATATGCGGCTTCTTTGAATTTTCTCCTAAACCAGTGTTCCTCCTTGGGGATGATTTCAGCTTGAGACCACTTGATGTTATGTTGATGAGTCTAAACGTGATCTGCTATTCCTGATTCGCTGGTTTCTCCTCACTGTGTGTGTGCTTCTTATGCTCGGCAATGCGAACTTCCAATGGACTCTTGGTTTCACCGATGTATGATTCTCCGCATTCGCAGGGTATCCAGTAAATGCAATTTTTGGAATCACAGTCCGCGTTTGGTAGCCTGGTTTTTGTAAGGCTGCTACGGATAATGTTCCTAGATATGATGTTATACTTGGACCCAATCATCATTGCGGAAATTCACTACGAAGATACATTCGAAAGCAAGATGCATTCCTCATAGACGATCCCAACATTCAAGCCATCTTTCGCAAAATGGGAATTTACCCATATAACCGGAATTTGTTTACCGAGATCGATTATGCTCCTGCATTTGTAACAGATATACCTAATCCGAAAAATACAACTGAGAGAACAGATAGACCTAATTCAGAAAATATTATTGAGTCTGCAGTTGTTACTATATCTAATGCAAATCCAACTGAAGGTGAAACACCTCCATTATCGCCTTCTTTTTTGTCTGAAGAATTACAGTTGTTTCCCCAGGCAACAGTTGACTCACCAGTTTAAATAATTCACCAAGTAAACGTTCATAAACCTAAAGTAATTATAAACATACCACCTAGACTTGGCAGCATCATTATCCATAAAAAAAATTCACCAAGACCGTCTACAAGTGCACAAGCTACTAATGATCGTATCGTCTTTACTCCGAAGAAAGTAAGGCCATTAGCAAAAGCACCCTTAAGGAAATTGAATGAAGAGTAAAAAACTAAAAAATCAACAATTTATACTAATACACCAGAGAAAGAAGCGATATGAAAAGACCATGAAGAAAAATTGAAACGGAAGAAAAGGTTAGAGAAAATTTTCAAAAGGAATAAAAAATACTCAGCAGGAACCAGAAGGGGAAGAATGCCACTATATTGTTTGCTAGTCATCATAATCAGAGAGCAGATCCGGAGAAATGTGAATTCGATGTATGTACTTGGTTTACAGAGTGGGCTCACGAAGAATGCACAAAAGATATTAGCTACGTTTGCAACAATTGCGACTCTGAATACTCTGATTATTGTTAAGCTGAATGTTTTATTTAAGTTTGTTCTGAATGTTTATTTGATTTATTCAGAATATTAATTTCATTATTAATGATTATTTGATTTAGGAAATGTCTTTCATTTAGTTTATTTTTAAAATTTATTTGTTTTCAGAAATGTTTTGATAAGTTTATTCTGAAATTATTATCTTTCTTTGTAATTCCTTCAAATGTTTATTACTCGGCAAAGGCTAATGCATATTTCAGAAGTATTGAAATCTTGAGGCTGATTAGTGTTGTCATGTGATGCCATAATTATTCGTATAATTAGTATCAATGACAAAACAAACATGTTTCATTAGTATTTATTTTATTATTGATGTGAAACATCTATAGTCGCACGTAAAACCGATTGCTGGCTTGGCGAGAGGTCACCAGTCATGGGAAGCTGAGACGTTGAATTATGATTGCGATATCGAATGGTTTTTGTTTTTTGGATGATTCAATGGAATATTATGCGGAAGATTAAGCTGTCATTATGCTCCGTGCTCGAATACAGAAGCCGGTCATATTGACTCGTTGAATGTAATTTAGTTTACGTGAAAGGGAATAAAAGGTGTTATTCAAAGTGCGACCAATGTTTGTTTCTATCATCAGAAGTGTAATTGTGCCTAACGCGCATAATGAACTCGCGAATTCGGTGATTTTCGCAAACAAAAAATACTTTACTAAGATTGTTCTTTTTGTTTTGCTGTTTGTCTATAATTGTGGAAATGACTTCACAGGAGGGAGATTCAAAAGATGGGACATGTGAAGGCAAATTGTCATGCCAAAAATCCATAACCACCGAAGTTTCTCTAGCAATCAACATGAAGTGCCGAGTT